TGAAGAACAAGAGTAAAATGTGTTTGTATTGTGCTATAATGCACTTTTCCTCTGTGACCTATCTATCATGTTTATGCAGGATGTTCACAACTGTCAATCGTGTATGATTAATTGTGAGGAGGTGAATGGGGGGGGGCTATTTCGTTGCAACGCGCAGCCTTTATCGTACCAATATTCCATCACCAAGACACGAATTGTTATAAAAGCTTGCATTTTTGCGACAGCCTCGATGTTTAGCAAGAACCGAGTATCAGGCGTACTTAAGCTGTTGAAATAGTATAAAGCTAAATTGTGAAATGAATTAGTAGTTTTAGAGCGATACAGCTCTCGTAATCTCAGCTAATCTATCCGTTTTGTTGTCCTTCTCGCGCACTGTGCCCGCGCAGAAGAAGGGGCGCGTGCTGCGATAGCCTCACGTTTGCCTCACAGGCATAAATGGCTCGCTGCGCGATAAAATCTGTACCGGGTTGGTCGATATTATTGGCCTATAGAAAGGCGCGGCTAGTATTACTACAAATTAGTATAGTTTAGTAATGAATATATATATATATATACATATGTGGGGCAGTTGTGGAAACTTCAAGAAGCTTCTATCCGTCTGAGCTGCGGGGGCGGCACTTCCCACCAAACGCAACTGTGACCAGCTTGGACGATACTTATCCGCTCAACATATTTACCGGGGGAAATATTTACATGCAATACTTGGGTACGCAAGGTCAGATCCCGGGGCTAAAGGCAGCATGATAAAGCTCCTGAGGCGTGCTTCGTGCTCATTTTAAGATATTGGCGCTTTTTTCAAAATAATGCGGCGGCATTTTCATGGTCACTTACCAGGAGAGTTTTCATTCTCCTCCGGAATTCGTGTCTTATTTGTCGCCTTGAGTAAAACAAATATGAGCGTGCTCGCCAAGATCTGTTGCTTTCAGTAAAATTGTGAAAAGAGAACAATTTTGCTCCTAACGCGTTATATGATTGGCACGGCTGAGCACATTATTGCAGCTCACATAGCATCTCATTGATTGGAATTTCATATTCGGACAAACTGACCAATGGAAGCCGTAGTTTTGGGTCACATTAAGTAACTTTTGAGCATCTACGCCGTAAATATGTGAGACGGACGCGTACGGTCTTCAGCTTGTCGGTCAGTGAGGTGACCTATTCGAACGATAGACAAGCTCGAGCAATCTTCACAGAAATCAAGCGACGTACGGGCACCAAGCAGTCGAAAGCCAAGAGCAGTCAGCGAAAATTGTATCCTGCTCGGAAGCCAACGGTTTGCTATGGTACCATGCTATATTAGACGAAATGCTACGAGTCGTAGTACATAACGATGTCAAGTTGCGCGAGCCATTTGTCAGCGAGTGTCTAGACGCCAAATACGGAGGTCGTTCTGGCGCGGAAAGCACGTACCTGACGCTTGCGTAGCGCTGGTTCTAAGCCAAGATGCTGAAATCAATTCAAAGCTACATAGCAGAATGGGAGACATGTAGACGCAGCAACTGCGGCTGCTAAAGCCCCCGGGACTGGTAGAACCTCTGCGAGTCCCGGACGAGCGATGGAGGTCGATCTTGATGGACTACATTACCTATTTCCAAAACAAAGCGAGTGAATCGTTGTTGACTGATTGTCGCAGCGCTGTCATTTCGCATCGACTACGAAGAAGGCAGACGCCGAAGGCATTGCCCGTCTCTTCATCGATCATATCTTGAAGCTTCACGGTATACCAACTAGCATTGTGTCCGACCGCGACAGAAAGTTCGTTTTCAAGCTCTGGCAGCACGTCTTCAAATCCATCGGGACAACGCTCAACGTGACAGTAGCACGTAGCGATAGTCAGACGTAGCGGGTGAATCGAACTTTGGAAGCGGACTCGGCGGTACTATGCCGAACCTGCTGGGATATATACCTCGCTAATGCTGAGTTTGCTGTGGGCTATACCGTCCATAGCAGTAACAAAATGGCGCATTTCGAAGTTGATCTTGAATACATTCCACTTAACCCACTTCAGCTTGCAGCTGGGAATTGTAGTAAGGTGTAATGGGCCCCTCCATTACATAGGTAGGTAGATTTTTACATAAGTAGGTGCATCAGCACACGACTAGCGTGTGCTGAAATGCTGTCATGCCATTGACCGATATATGCAGACCCATTATTAGCCAATTGGATTATGGCGTGTATTTGAGTGGCCAGGGCTGTGGCCTTGGTCCTAAAATAAAGTCAGAGCTGATTTTTCCTTAAACCTAAGACTCAGTCGTCCTGCTGCGAGCTTCCTCAACACTATAGTGTAAGCAAGTAACGGAGTATATACCTGGCCCGTTACATAAGGTCCCAACTAGTCGACATGGGGCTGCGTATTACGAGCGCCAAGCAGCTCTTCTTCGGCGGTTTTAGAAAACACTTGCAGGAGAGAATGCGCGACGTGTACGACCAAAACCGAGATGAGCAAGTCTTTAAAGTTGGCGCCACGTGTACTTGATTACAAAACTCTTGGGTCCCAAACATACCGGAAGTCGAATTCGACCAATCTTGGCCCGTAGTGGATGCGGCCATGCACGGTCGTGAAGATGATATACAACCACGCGTACGAGCCCTGCATTCAAGCAGGGAATTAACTCCATCCAATCTTCAGCATATAATTTTTAAATTCATGGAATGAGATCTCTCGGTTGTCGCGGCCCCATGATGTTATTCTGGACGACGGAACCGTCAGCTCGTTTAGCGGATACTCAGCAAGCGCACTCACAAACGACGAACGCATCTTCTTGTGGAGTGGGTGGGTAAGGTGGAGCGCATGTGAGAGCCAATTAATTTGTTCTCTCACAGGTACCGAATCTCATTGCATACTTTGAGGCATGCAGAAGGAAGTAGCGACGGAGACGGTGAACAGCAAAACCTTATAAAAGAGGAGGGACAAGAACCTATATGTGTTAGGTTCTTGTACTTATCCCCTACCATTTCTGTTGTTTCTTCTTCTCACGACGCGCTTTCCTTCGATTGGTCTGTCGAGGCATGCGGCCCAGCCTCATCATGCTCATTCTTGGTTTTACCGAGATACCCCACGTTGGACGACGGCTCTGGAGTCACCGGCGGTTAAAATTCGTCTAGTATCAACACATCGACGCCTGGCCTCTACCCGAGGACGATAAAACAATGTCCGACGAGGTCGCCACCAACACTCGTAAGGTACACTCATTCACGGAGTGTTTAAACGAACGTCTGGAACTGCTCCACATCCGTGTAAAAATTTTCGAGGCGACTCTGGAAGAGAACATCGAAGTCCGAGGAAGAATCGTGGTGCTGAAGGAGGCGGCTTAATTTCGTAGCTCCAGCACGATAAACACCATCCGCGGGACTAGAATTATCGAGCCCAGAGACCTTTCAGAGATCCGTAGTCGTCGGCGCGAGATCACGTTCACCGAGGTGAAAGAGAGCAGCACGGACGGCATCCATGAAACTGCCACCAGCAATAGAAGCAATGTCACGGTTTGCGAAATGTTTATTGTAGTAGCTGGCGAAGATCCCAGGCGCAGATCGTCTCTTCGCTGCATAACTTGGTTTATGCGACGCGAGAACTTTCGTTCAAGCTGTTCCTGCCAAACCCAGCTCAGCTGAAGAGGCTTGACTTGTCATTCCACGAGAAAACAACGATGGAAAGAGTCACCGCGGACATCATGGAGCTACCCGATGTTTACCTCAACCGAATAATCCAAAGGAGCGTTTGGATCGTATTGGCTACCGCGACTGTTGGCTGGGCGCAGGAGGCAGCGCATGCAGATGCCAATTGTCAGAGTTGACACCATAAATGAGCCGAGAGCGTGGTCTAGCAGGATCAGTTCCTCATCACTACCCTCGGCACCAAGACCAGGGTCTCCGAATTTAGCACTTTTTAGTAATACATCACGCATGAGCAGCTTTAGAAATGGCTGGGGAGAAAAATAATTAGGAAAGTAACTAAAATAAGTACTGCATTAATCTTTGCCGGAAAATAAATTAGTACATTTAAGGTTTTTGCTGTCGAAATAAATAATTTACAAATATTTATGTGAATAATGTTATTGACCATTGCTATTTTTCGGAGGCCCTCGATGTGGCCACATCACCTTTTCGGTAAAATGTAAGCTGAATGTTGACATTGACATCTTTTACTACTCAAAATAGTTATTTTTTCTAAATATAATACATGTACAATATTCGTTTAAGCCAGCACTTGTTTTTACAGACAGCCCCCCCCCATCAAAATGAAATATCCGGCTGGGCACCTAATGAAATATCCGGCTTGGCACCTACCAAAAACTTTACAAACGAAATTCAAAAATATAATAAAACGACCTGTTAAACTGTTAGCAAAACGTATTCGAGGTTGATATTTAAGAATTGCCTCGTACTGTACTTTTTAAGCATCGGTATCTTTTAAGTGCCACCGGTGCTTTGCTTGCTGTTTACACCGCGTGTACCTTCGTATGTTCCTATTGAAAAAGAACCAATCGGTGCGCGTGCCGCTCATCAGTCCTGGTTCAATTCGGTATACTGCCCCAGCGCCAAACTTGGCGATCAAGCTGTCAGAGGTGAAGCTCTCCTCCGCCGATTGAGACAGGGCTACACGCTAGAATCAAGCACAGGGATCTGTGTTCTGCAAACGTGTTGTTGCGCGCAACAACAGCCCAACGACTCATGCAGTCAAAAATGATAACATGTACAGTACCCATCCCGGCTGTTTATCAAGTCATTTATTTTAACCAATGATGTTTTGATAATTTATTTAACCAATCCTCTTAGCCTTTTCCGACGGGGACATGATTTGTGCGACTTGGGTTTGAGCAATTGCACAAGCAATTGCGAAAATGGACGCCTTACAATTCTTAAGTCTAGCGTGACTGCCTCCACCGAACACTTCACTTCAAGGGAAACAATTCGTGTGCCCCACATAAAAAAGGATGCAAGTGGTGCTTGGTCATTCGACAATCTGCTCCCAACAGCAAAGCTTTCGTCTTCGCCTCACAATGCTGGCGCGCCAAGTACGCTCCCAGAAGCGCTCGCTGCAGCATGCGGCGGCCGCCGTGCCACGCGCGTCTTCGATGCTTCATACGCGCTTCCTGTCGGCTCCGGTCTCCACCGAGGACCATGAGGACGACGAGGAGGCAATGAGTAGCGGCGAGCCTACGGGCTCTGAGAACGACACGCTCGACACGTATTTGACGACGCTCAAGAAGTACAACCCGCCCATCAAGACGGGTCTCAAGGGCCTCAACATCATCCACGACCCTCTTTACAACAAGGGCACAGGCTTCCCTCACGTCGAGCGCGACCGCCTCGGTAGGATAAGGCTAGTGGTCGATCTGCTGCAATGTTGCAGCCACGCCTAACATTTTCTTTCTCTGCAACTGCTTCTACGCTACAGGTCTGCGTGGCCTGGTGCCACCGCGTCGCCTGAAGGTGGAAGCGCAGCTTACCAAGCTGTACGACACTTTTTGTCAGGAGAAGGACCCGCTTGGCAAGAGCCGCTTCCTCACAGACTTGCACGACCGTAACGAGACGTTGTTCTTCCGTCTTCTGATCAAGCACATGAAGGAAATGGGTGCGTACTTGTAACAACCCACGGTTACTGTCCATCCAATTAACACTAGTGCATCTCTGACTTAAACTTCAGCTCCCATCGTGTACACGCCCACTGTCGGCGTTGTGTGTCAGAAGTTTGGTCACCTCTTCCGTCGTCCGCGTGGTATGTTCTTCAGCACACGCGACCGTAGTCAGTTCGGCGCCATGGTGCACAACTGGCCGTGCGACGACGTGGAAGTGATCGTGGTCACAGACGGTAGCCGTATCCTTGGTCTCGGCGACCTTGGCGCCAACGGCATGGGTATCCCTATCGGAAAGCTGGCACTTTACACTGCTGCTGGAGGTATTGACCCGCGTAAGGTCCTCCCGGTGATGCTGGACACGGGAACCAACAACAAGAAGCTCCTCGAGGACCCGTACTACCTCGGTGTGCAGCAGCCACGCCTCACCGGTGAAGCGTTCTGGTCCATGGTGGACGAGTTCATGCGCGCTGTGCGTCATCGCTGGCCCAAGGTGCTCGTACAGTTCGAGGATTTTTCTAGCGAACACGCAGCAGACGTTTTGAACGCGTACCGTCTGAAGCAACTCTGCTTTAACGATGACATCCAAGGCACGGGTGCTACAGTGCTGGCTGGCGCCCTGAGTGCTTGCAAGCGTGTCAAGATCCCGCTCAAGGACCAGCGCATTGTGATTCTTGGTGCTGGTAGTGCTGGTCTGGGTGTGGCCACCACGTTGCTCCAGGGTATGCTACGTGAGGGTATGACGACCGAGGAGGCTCGTGAGCGCTTCTACATCCTCGACCAGCATGGTCTACTGGGCGAAACTCGCGAGTCTTTGAACGCCGGCCAGCAGTTCTTCTCTCGCAAATATATAGCGGACAAGACGAGTCTTGTGGACGTAATCAAGCAGGTCAAGCCCACGATGCTCATGGGTCTAAGTGCTGCCGCTGGTGCCTTTACAAAGGAAGCTGTGGAAGAGATGGCTAAGCACACGGAACACCCGATTGTATTCCCGCTATCGAACCCCACGTCTGTGGCCGAGTGTACGGCCGAACAGGCCTACGAATGGACTAAGGGCAAGTGCGTGTTCGCTAGTGGCAGTCCGTTCGACCCTGTCGTTTACAACGGCGCGCAGTACAACATCAGCCAGTGCAACAACATGTTCATCTTCCCGGGTGTGGGTCTTGCAGCGTCGGTGATCCAGGCTAACCGCGTGACGGACGGCATGCTCTACGCTGCTGCTAAGGCGCTGTCGCAGTGTATGACTCCGGAGGAGATTGCGAACGGCCAGGTGTTCCCGTCTGTGGAGAACATTCGTGATGTGTCGCTCAAGGTGGCTACTGCGGTCTGTGAGACTGCTATCGAGGAAGACGTGGCCGGTTTCCGGCCGACGATCCGTCGCGGCGGAACCCTGGAGGACTTTGTCGCTTCGAAGATGTACTACCCGACGTACCACGCGCTGGTCGAGTAAGCGACCTAGAAAGAGTTGGCGATGCGCATGCTTGGTGGATGGAGATGCGAGTTTTTCGTAGTGCTTGAATGCAACAGCTCGACGTCCACGTATGCATGCTCTCTGAAGCCAGGAGAGAAGTTACAGAAGTACATGTACAAACATCTTCCCAATGGGTCACTAGGGCCCCGCTCCATTACAGTAGGAGCTGCGCGAAAGCCGTTGAATTATTCTCCGCTCTAATGCTGCAGGTAACGCCTCAGCAAAGATGCAGACTCCAGATCTTCATCACAGTGCTGGGATGATGAACTCCTTGTCGACAAGTGGCATCTAATCGTGTTTTTGTGCTTCGTTGTTAGTCATACTGCGTTGTCATGCGGCACCAACCAGCAACTCCAATGCACCTCTAGTTCACCTATTGCCAGGTGTGTGTGGGGCTACCAGGGCAAACTTCGATACTAGCACGTCGAAGAGCTCTCCGTCGTCGTCGTCCTCTGTCTTCCTCACTGCATGGAGACAGCCGGTCACGGATCCGCGTGGGGCGTCGATGTCTACTCCACTGCCGTATTCGAATGTCTGACCTGGTGCCAGCAAAGGTGTAGCGCCTACGATTCCAGGTGAGTTGCGGGGCAGTGCAACCCGTTGCCCCTTCTCGCTTTCGAACGTGTATTGGCGTCCCAGAATCTGAATCGAGCACTCCTCGTCTGGAACACACAAACGATACGTAAGCTTATGCAGTCGCACGGTGCGGCAAAAGACACGACGATCCAAAGCGTTCTTACTTTGGTTGGTGATGGTAACCCGGTACGTGAAGCGGTAGGTGTTCGAGGCTGGGTTGCTGTGGCTCTGCACATACTTGCTGGATGCCTCGATACGGACGCCGTCGGTCACAGTCACTGCAAATATGCAACGGCAACGTGAGGACCACCACCATTTCATCACCAATCCTGACCAAAACGTACCACTGGAGCATTGTGCCAACAAAAGTTGGTCAGACAATTCGCTCAATGTCCTGCAACATTCAATATATCCCTGCTAAGTTATCTACAGTCGAGCCGAAGCATTGAACACATTGCCGCGTACTCAATTGCTTCGTCCAGCTTCGCACTCGCATCCTGCCACACGAAAAAATATCAGCTTGACCGTCAATAAGTCGGTCAACACCTGCACTTTGCTACCTTTTGGTCATTTATATGCATATTCTGCCGAAATGCCGTCTGTATGCTCTTAACGACGTCGACACCGGGCGAACCCATGCGAAATGCATCGTCCCGCAGCCTCCGGAACTCCTCGAGCGACGTGAGAACCCTCGGATCGTTCGTGCCCCGTGTCTCCTCCTGCACTGGTAGCGGCTCCACGAAGCCCCCAACTCCCCACTGCTCCAGCTTCAGCTCACGACGAATATTGAAGTGCGGCGTGCGCTGCAGCCCACGTGCGTCACGCAGCAGACATCGGTAGATAGCGCGCACTGTCGCCGCCGAAGGCATCATCAATGCTGATGTCTCTACACGAAAAAATACTTAAATGTATGTCTGCCACACTAAAGCAACAACATAACGTTACTTCCAGGGGGAAGATTTTATAGCTTTTGAATAGATCTGTAGCTTCTCGTCATATACAGCGTAATGGCGGAGACGACGACGACGCGGGGACTGCCCGAGGAGGTGGTGACGCACCCTCTGGTGCTGCTCAGCATCGTGGATCACTACAACCGTGTGGCACGTGACACGAGCAAGCGCGTAGTCGGCGTGTTGTTGGGATCGACGTTCCATGGCAAGTGCGACATCACCAACTCGTTCGCTGTGCCTTTCGACGAGGACCTGCGGAACCCAGGGATCTGGTACCTGGACCACGATTTCCTGGAGAGCATGTACCAAATGTTCAAGAAGATTAACGCGAAGGAGCGCATTGTGGGCTTTTACAGCTCGGGCCCAAAGATCCGCAAAGCCGATCTGGACATTGACGATTTGTTCCGTCGCTATTGTCCAAACCCGGTGCTGGTTATCTGTGACGTGCGTACCAATGTGGAAGGTCTGCCCACCACAGCCTATGGCTCCATTGAGGAAGTGGAGGAGGACGGCAAGGCCATCAAGCGCGTCTTTAAGCACATTAAGTCCACTGTCGGCGCTTACGAGGCCGAGGAGGTCGGTGTCGAGCACTTATTGCGCGATATTAACGACCCGTCGGTGAGTTCATTGGCCGGACAGGTGAAGCACAAAATGACGGCACTTAACGGACTGAAGGAGCGACTAGAGGAGATGAAAACGTACTTGGAGAACGTAGTGGCGGGCCGCTTGCCACCGAACCACCAGATCATCTACAACATGCAGACCATCTTCAATCTGCTGCCCAATCTCAACATCGACGAGCTCGTGCGCTCCATGTTCATGAAGACAAACGACATGCATTTCGTACGTATAAAACCCCGTTTCGACGCGAAAATAAGCGGGTTTTATTAACGTGTTTTTTTTACTTGCTGTTACAGGTCATCTACTTGTCATCGCTGATTCGCTGCACGATCGCGTTGCACAACCTCGTGAACAACAAGATTAAGTACAAAGAGTCGGAGGAAGTAAGCTTTACGGACAAGAAGGAGGAGAAGAAAGAAGCGACATCGGACAAGAGCACAAAGGACAAGGCGAGCGAAAAGGCCCCGTAGAGTTTTTTCAACCCAGAAGCCGCCAGTCATTTCCAATGAATTGACTTTTCTACATTTTTTTTTTTGCTGATTCCTGTTTCAAACGCCCCTTTCTTTACTGTATTATGCCAAATGAACGCTGACAAAACATTGGATCCGATGTTTATCGGAGACTCTGGCGTGAAAATCTGGGGTACTTTACTGCACCTTGCAGTCGTCTCGATACTCCTACACGTCGATCACTTCCGAATTCGCCTTCACCTCGACAGACTCCAACGCATTTTTCAAGAATTTCTACGATAGCCAATGGAGGTTGAAGAAAGCGACAAGCAACCGGAATTCGTGTCGAACACCTCAGCAAGTGAGTTCATGGCTGCGGGTCCCGACGCCTTTCACCGCTATGTGGCGAACAAGTTGAGTGTTGCTGCGGGACCGCTGCCTCGACTTGAGATTCGAGTAAAGAACCTCTCGCTGGCAGTGCAGACCCGCGCTGTGTATGACACGACATCGGGGCTCCCGACGTTGCCTACAGTATTACGTCGAGCTGTGGCCAAGACTCTCGGTGGATGGTGCGTGAAGAACCAAGAGCAAGACAATCGCTTTATTCTTCGAGATATTTCGGGTGTCTTTAAGCCAGGAACCACGACACTCGTTCTTGGGCAACCAGGATCGGGGAAATCATCACTTCTGCAGTTGCTAAGTGGCCGGTTTCCCCTTGAGAGCGGAGATATCACTGTGGAGGGCGACGTCATGTACAACGATGAGTCTCGTGGGTCTCTGGCCACTCGCTTACCGCAGTTCGCTGCTTACGTTCCTCAGCAAGATCTACACTTGTCGACTCTTACGGTTCGAGAGACACACGAGCTCGCTCATACTTGCAACACCGCGTACTTTGAGAATCACGTCGAGGAGCTCTTGAGTGGGGGTGCACGTAAGGAAGACAACGCCGAAGCCCAAGCTACGGCACGCTCTTTACTGCGTTGTCTGCCACAGATCACACTGGAGCTTCTTGGCTTGCAACACTGCGCTGACACGAACATTGGTGGGCATCTGCAGCGTGGGGTTTCTGGAGGCGAGAAGAAGCGCGTCACTACCGGAGAAATGCTGGTCGGGTTCAAGCTTGCCTTGTTCTTGGATAATATTACCACGGGTCTCGACAGCGCTGCAGCCTTCGACATCATTTCAACGCTACGAGGTCGAGCTCGCTCCTTTGGTCAAACGGTTGTAGCTGCTCTGTTGCAGCCTGCCCCCGAGATCTTCGAATTGTTTGACGATGTTCTGCTACTGATGCGCGGACGGGTAGCCTACCATGGCCCCGTGCAAGAAGTTCGAGGATACTTTGAAAGCCTTGGCTTCTACTGTCCACCCGGACGTGACTTTGCAGACTTCTTGATGGATCTGGGCACAGATGAACAGCTTCGGTACCAAACCGGTTCAGCTCAAACCCCTCCGCGTACGGCGGAGCAATACGCTGCAGTGTTTACGTCTTCGTCAATCTACCAACAGGAGCTGCAACAATTGGAGACTCCAGTGGATCCTAGTATGGCTGAAAGTACACACAAGTACATGGACTCGATTCCTGAATTCCAGCAAGGTTTTATGGCTAGTACGTGCACCCTTGTGCGTCGCGAGATGCTGGTTCTGAGTCGCAATGCTGCGTTTGTAGTCGGTCGAGCTGTGATGACTGTGGTCATGGGACTTCTGTATGCCAGCACGTTCTACGACTTCGAGGCTACCGATGTGCAAGTGATCATGGGCGTGATCTTTTCGGTGATCTTCTTCGTGTCGCTGGGTCAGGCAGCGCAGATCCCAACGCTCTTTGAGGCACGCGACATTTTCTACCGTCAACGTCGCGCCAATTTCTATCGATCGTCCTCTTTCGTGCTTGCTAGCACACTGAGTCACATCCCAGTGGCGTTATTCGAGACACTAGTCTTCGGGTCACTCATTTACTGGCTGTGCGGGTTTGTTCCCGACGTCGAGCTCTTTGTACGGTACGAAGCGATCGTGTTTCTCTCCAGTTTGGCATTCGGTGCTTGGTATTTCCTACTGGTTGCATTGACTCCCAATATGAACGTGGCGATGCCAATGGCGATGTTATCTGTGCTCTTCTTCGTCATGTTCTCGGGTTTTGCCATTCCGAAGGACCAGATTCCGGATTATCTCATTTGGCTTTACTGGGTTAGCCCCGTCGCGTGGGGGATTCGTGGACTGGCTGTGAATCAGTTTCGAGCTCCACGCTTCGATGTCTGTGTCTACGAGGGGGTTGACTACTGTACTCTTTCGGGAGGAACCATGGGGGAGTACTATCTGTCATTGTTTGACGTCCCAGCAGACAAGAAGTACGTAGATCTCAGTATGGTCTTCGTTGTTGGTTGTTATCTCCTCTTCTTGGGTCTTGCGGTATGGGCTCTGGAGCATCGTCGCTTCAAAGGACCTGAGGATGGAGGTGTGGGATTATCTGATCGTGAAATTGACAATGGAGACCAAAGCTCGGAGCCCCAAATCGTAAAACAAGTCAATGAGAGTTCGTACGGACTGGTGAAAACTCCTCGAGGGACAGAAGCGGTGGATATCACGGTGCAACTTGCCACTGGTGACTACAAACGCAACTTTGTTCCAGTAACATTGGCGTTCGAGGATATCTGGTACTCTGTGCCTATGCCTCATCACCTCAAGAAAGCAGCTCCTGATAAGGAGGATATTGTCCAAGGAGATGAAGAAGTTATGGGTCAAGAAAAAACGCAAGATGATATGCTACAAATTCTTAAGGGTGTGTCTGGGTTTGCACGCCCTGGATTCATGACCGCGCTCATGGGATCTTCTGGCGCCGGTAAAACCACCTTGATGGATGTCATAGCACACCGCAAACCGGGAGGTTCAGTACGTGGACGCATTCTACTTAACGGCCACGAAGCTAGTGACTTGGCAATGCGTCGTTGCACGGGTTACTGCGAGCAAACAGACGTGCATTGCGAAGGGGCTACATTCCGCGAGGCCCTAACGTTTAGTGCCTTCCTTCGTCAGCCTGCAGACGTTCCCGACAGCGTCAAGCGAGACACAGTCCGCGAGTGTCTAGAATTGCTGGACCTGCACCCCATTGCCGATCGTATCGTCCGCGGAGCGTCGATGGAGCAGCTCAAACGTCTCACTGTCGGTGTGGAGCTCGCTGCCCAACCCAGCGTCTTATTCCTTGACGAACCCACCAGTGGACTAGACGCCGCTGCTGCTAAAGCCATTATGGAGGGCGTACAGAAGGTGGCACGATCCGGACGAACAGTGCTCACCACAATCCACCAGCCGTCCGCTGAAGTCTTTGGACTCTTCGACAGTGTACTACTGCTACAACGTGGTGGTCGAACCGTGTTCTTCGGTGATGTCGGACCGCAATGTCGTGATCTGGTACAGTACTTTGAACAGCTTCCCGGTGTCGCTATTCTCCGGCCCGAAGCTAATCCAGCTACCTGGATGTTGGAATGTATTGGTGCGGGGGTCAACACTGGCGATAAATCTTCTGTAAACACGTCAGTCGATTTTGCGGATCTTTTCGAGACGAGCAAACTTCAAGAGCAACTGGATGCAACGATGAAGGAGCCTGGTGTGGCATCTCCTTCGGACGATCACTCAGAGCCGACGTTTACAAGCAAGCGAGCTGCAGGGGCTCTCGTCCAGCTTCACTTCTTACTGCAGCGCAGTTTCCGGTCGTACTGGCGAACGGCGTCCTACAACGTCACACGTGCCGGTATCTCGGTTATACTCGCACTGATCTTTGGAGTTGCGTTCCTTGGAGCCGACTACGGGTCCTACGCTGGAGCCAATGCGGGTGTTGGTATGCTCTTCATTGCAACGGGGTTCAATGGAATTGTGTCCTTCTTCGGTGTCCTCCCTGTTGCAGTGAGCGATCGCGCTTCTTTCTATCGAGAACGTGCCAGTCAAACTTACAGCGCGTTTTGGTACTTCATTGCCGGGTCGGTTGTTGAGATTCCGTACGTGCTGGCCAGTACACTGCTATTCTCCGCGATCTTCTACCCCATGGTTGGCTTTACGGGTGGCTTCGTGTCGTGGCTGCTTTTCTGGCTCAATACGGCACTCCTTGTCGTACTACAAGTGTACATGGGTCAGCTACTGGCCTACGCACTGCCAACTGCAGAACTTGCGATGGTTGTCGGGGTGGTGGTTAACACTGCCAGTTTCTTGTTCATGGGCTTCAACCCTCCGGTGAACTCCATTCCAGCCGGATACAAGTGGCTCTATCAGATCGTACCTCTACGATATTCCTTCAGTGCTCTTGCTGCTCTTGTGTTCGCAGATTGTCCGGTTACAGGCGACTCGGACATCGGTTGCCAAGATTTGACAAACGCACCTGTCACCCTCACGTTCTCAAACGTCAAAGAGTACGTGGAGTATACGTTCGGTGCTAGGAACGACCAGTTGGCGCGTAACATGGGCGTTGTCGTGCTTATCATCGTGGTTCTGCGACTTCTGGGTCTACTGGCGTTGCGGTTCATCAACTATGAACGACGTTAGCCATAATGTTGGTCAAATCTATTTGTCAGTGCGTTATTTCGGGGCTATAGCTTGCCCTACTAAACGATCTAGGCGCAGGACTCGCCCTCACCGTCCGAGAGACCGAGCACATAGTAGTGCTTATACTGTTTGGTCTTGTCGTACTTGTAGCCGGGCCCGATGAACGGGTAGTCGGCGTAGATGTAGTCGCTCGAGGCCTTGAGCCAAGCAGCCACCACGCTATTCACAGACGTGTAGCCGGCACCAACGAGCTCGGCAGCGGCGGTCACAGTCAAATTCTGCGCCTCAAGGCGCTCCAGCTGGCCGGATCCGTCCGTGCTGGACGTACCGATGAAATTGTTCGTGGCCATGTCCTCGGCGTGGACCTGAGCGGCAGCAGCCAACTTGGTGTTGATGCACACAGCGGCAAGGCCCTTCTCGGCGCGCTTGGCGTTGACGGCGCTCAGCATCTTGGAGCTGTAGTCAGCGACTTGAGCATCGGCCGAGCTGACGAGAGCCACGAGAGCGAGTGCGAGGAAAGCCTTCATGACGATTCTTGTACTTGTCTTGGAGTGGTGGAGGAGAGTTGGTATTGTGCTGCAATTTGGAGAATGAATAGAGAAGTCGGAGGGGCTTTCAGAGCGGCATGCAAGGAGCGGAACCGTGAGGACTTATACATTATAGCTGCACTGAAAAGAAACGCACTCCACAACATGCAAAGCTCAGGATCACTAGAACGAATTTCAGATGGGGAAGTACGCTTCTGAAAAAGCTAAGCATGCGTTTCTTGGATGAAGATGGATAGAGACGCAATGGCGTAGGATTCCGGCGTTACGACAGTGCTTTAAGTACCCCGGCATTGCGTTCATGCAAGCATCCGAAGGAGGCCTTGGTGCAGTCAAAATGCTACATTGATGTGGTCGGTTGTGCTACGCTGCCAGCGTCGAAGTACATTAGACCAACGTAGCAAGCCTATCCATTGTCAAGTGCCCCAGTGACGAGGCAAATCTGAAGTTGCCGTTGTTGAAGCGTGTGTAACAATCGGTGGCCGTTCGAGAACACGACTGTAGATACATGTACTGTACAGTGTCCCCCTATGAGCGTTACTTGGACTTCATATACCCCTTGATATTGATATCGGAATCACAGGGATGGGAGAAATAAAAGACAAAACATCAGATTACCTATACAAATTTATCAGACGACTCCTACGCTTATTGAGGAGACATCAAAAGATTACGAGCAGATTGCAATCATCAGAATTTCCTGAATCAGGAATCACCGAAGTGACAAACAAGGCTTCGTTTTTCGTGGTAGGGGGGGGGGGGGCTCGGATAAGTACATGTGCAAAATCTTTTCTTATTGTAAAGTAACAAAAGCAGCCTCCTTCATCACGCGTTGAGTTTCTTTTCTACAGACTGAATAGTTTCGGTAGGCATCGCTCGGGTACCGATTTACTGGCAAGACTCACCCTCAGCGTTGGCGAAGTCGAGCACCCAGTAGTGCTTGTACGTCTTGGTCTTGTCGTAGGCGTAGCCAGGGCCGATGAACTTGAAGTCGCTGTACACATACGCGCCAGACGACTTGGTCCAGGTGGCGACAACAGCGTCGGCGCTAGCCTGACCGGCAGCAACAAGCTCAGCCGATTGAGCTGTTTCAATACCCTGGGCGTCGTAACGCGTCGTCGGAGTAGAACCGTCCGAGCCCTTGGTGCTGACCTTGTTGTTTTTGGCGTTGTCGTCCGCAAGAGTTTGCGCCGCCTTAGCCAACTTCGTGTTAATACACACGGCAGCAAGGCCCTTCTCCGCGCGCTTGGCGTTCACAGCGTTAAGGAGCTTGGTACTAAAGTCAGCAACCTGGAGCTCACGAACAACATGGTCCTCGGTCTCGGCGTTCGCCATACCGACAAGCGCGACAACCGCAAGCGTGAAAACCCCCTTGATGTTCATCGTGTGAGAGGCTCTTGGATTCTTGTTCTTGAAGGAGAGATGTGAAGCGCAGCGCAAAATTAAAAATGAGTGGATCCATAGCGTGGCGAGAGAGCCCTTCCCCCCACTGGGGCACGGGTCTGTCGTGGATACTGCGCAGGCCTGCAAAGCCCATGATTTCATGATTTTTTGTGCAAAATTGGACCTGCGCCGTAATACTGATGGGAAGCATACATGTACTTGTACTGTACTAATATCCTGGCCCACGATTCCTGCTTACAGGTTGGTACATGTACATGTAGTGCGGCCATTTGGTGAATGCATCATTTTTCACGGTTGCCCCTAGTGCACATGACTTGCCGACATGAAGCTAAAAAAAACCCTCAATAAATCCTTTCATCACATCATCATGCTGTACATTGAGAGTTTCTGAGTGGAAGCTCCACGTCAACGGCAAATCCCAATAAAACTTCAAGCAACGTTGATTCCTCGGCGAAAAAAAAACTCAGTGCAGCAGCAAGTTTAAAAAGAGAAAATAGGAGAAACACACGTCCATCGCTGGGATAACACACACGGGGCTGGGCGACGTGGGTGCCATAGCCGCGGCGCCAACTAAGGTGAGCGGGTGCGAGGCGCGTAGCCGCAGCAAACCCGCGCGGAGAGCCCGCGAAGCAGGGCCGCGCGGTATTTGCGGAGGCGGGCCCAGCGCTGAGCTCACCAGCGAGCCGAGCACTACACTTTCCAGAACATTCTATCTCCATATTGCGAGCGCAGCGAACCGCGGGGGGCGCCCAGCCAAGCGAAGCGCGGCTGGTCCCTTTTCTGCTGTGACCTCTAATCGTCGATTATGTCTTATTGCGACACTCAGAAGGTCAAAATTATACAGAAGTCAAGTCAAATGATTTGCTGTGTGCTGAAACAGTAAATACATGTGTTTGGCATGTTCTGTCGTTTAAAAACTATTTTCGGTATTGTACATGAACCGGTATCTGTCGAAGTAAGCATCTCCGATGTGATGATGACTATCTAGTGGAATATAACTGTACTATTTCATATAGAGAAATCGTACATAACTGGACTGGTTGGTGGAGAGTAACTCCCCCACCAGAACACCAGACTCTATAATTCATCACTTCTTCTTTTACCAAGTCCACCACAAGCGTCTTCTCCTTCTACACTCAAGACTTCCTCTCCACTATGGCCGCCTAAACCACTCTACTTTTGTCCTCACTCCGTACTGTACTGCCCTAACAACTCTGCGCAAATATCCCTCCAACAGTATCAAAGCAGCATAAGCGAAAACGGTACAGTGTATTATCGAGGATACCCATTTTTTGGAACTTTTGGGAAAGTACCGGTATTGCAGCCTGAACCCACGCCTCAGCGAAAGTTTAATGGTACTGTACTGTATTGTACACGAGAACCAGATTTTATTATTAAACATTCGAAACTTCTACTTCTACTGAGCTATCAATTCCTTTTCTGAGAAAGGCAGAGACTATTGACGAGGAATTAACTTTAGCAAGTAGATTGGGTCCAAAATGGAAAAATAAGTAGGTGCGTTTTTCAAAAATAAGTAGATTGACACCAAAAATATAATGCATCATTGCTAAAACCAAATAATCAAATTTAGAATGACCGTTTAAAATTTAAGAACATATATCAAAGTCTTAAAAGTAATATCGTACGATTCGCACAAGGCCACACAGGCCCAATCGTACGATCATACTTATTATTGCTACTGTTGGTACTACCTAGTATTTCCAGTGGAGCTCACACCCAGGAAACATTGTCCACTTGATCGAGCTAAAAGAAGACATGACCGTTCTACAGCCAGTCCGTTTCGCAACTTCTCCTGGCCAATCAGTTTTTAAACCCCATCGCCTTGCCAGGACGAGGTGCTCACGACCCTTCATTAATCATTTTTTGAGCTCTCGCAAAGACTGATTACGTGCACTGTTAGCCAAGCCAAAATGTCGGAGACTGCAAACGTGTCACCATTATCTGCAAGAGACCAGCTAACGTCATGTAACACAAGGAGTCGAGACGATACACCTGCACCGTTGAATGTGGCTGTACCTAGCACCACTACTTCCGAGAAATCGAATGCATCAAAGTCGAAGAGCAGAACACCTGATCGTCACGAATCGCTGCGCGTTAGTTGTGTTGAGCTGGAGGATGTTTCAATTCTCCGAAACCTGGGGTTACTACGAAGTGACTTGAACGTGGGTCTGGAACGAAACGACCTTGAGACGTATGGATCCGTTGTCGATCGAGGGAATAACCTTGCACCAGAGTCATTTGGAACGAAAGCGGAACTGCTACAACGATGTCGAGAGTTTGCTAGTAGAGCTGGGTTATTCATTCGTGTCGCGACAAATAGCTTTCGCAAGATGAAGAAAGAGGGTAATGCCAGATATGAGTGCAAAGTGTTAAACGGTCAGCAGCAACTGACGCCTGGCACAACTCCCTCTTGTCCATTTTTCATCACGGTGTATGGAATTCGAGACGAATGGAAAGTTACCAAGATGTGTATAGCTCACGACCACTACCGCCACGTTGGTTTTCAAGGGGATTCATTCGTGGAAGGTGATCTAGCAACATCAGGTCTGCGTCAGCACAACCGTGATATGTCTTTCGCGACAATCCGCGGAATTGCTGAGCGCGAAATGCTTCCGGCCTACAGCGACGACTGGGCATCCGTGAAGGGTAAAGCTATTCTCGAATTCCTTCTCAGCAAAAACATTGAATCGAATCGTCAGACCGCTTCCCGGATCAAGCGTCAGCTGACGGATGTATTACAAGGAAACATGGAAGAAAGTTATCAGAAATTGGAGTCATATCTGTCTGTTGTGGCGACAGAGAATCCTGGTTCACACTATGGCTTTGAAAAACATTCAAACGGCGTTTTCAAACGAGCGTGTTTTTTTTCGAGTTCCTGTTTGAAGGCATTGCAGACATGTCGTCGTATCATTGGTCTGGATGGAACTCACCTTAAAAAGGAAATGAACAAGCGAGGTGTGTTTCTCCTAGCTACGGCTAAAGACTTAAATGGCCACTTAATTGTTTTCGGGCTGGGATTGGTCGACCAAGAGGATGGTCTGAACTGGCGCTGGTTTGTACAGCACATGAAAGAAGCCATCGGTGGATCTGGTGGAGAGCCCTGGAAACCTGCATTTCTATCGGACCGACAGAAGGGTCTGTTGTCCGCAGTTTCCGAATTGTATCCTGGTTGTGGTCATCGCGTATGCGTTCGTCATGTCATTACGAACGTGGAAAAGAAAACCTCCTCGCTGGCGCCTGGCGAGAGAGCCTTGATTTTTCAGATGGCACGCAGTGAATGCGAGAAAGATTACGACTTCTACAGCTCAAAGCTGGCTGATACACGCCCTCAAGCAGCCGAGTATCTGAGGAAGATTATGAAAGAACACTGGGTCACGTATGCATTCAGCGAAATATACGAGCAACCGACGTATGACGAGGTTACCTCCAATTTATCGGAATCGGCTAACCAGTGGCTTGGAAATGCTTGTCGGTCTGCATACCCAATGAACGCGTTCGAGCAATACTTCGTGAAAGTCGTAGAACTCTTCGCATCTCGCCGCAAAGAAACTACTCGTTTAATCAAGAATGTCGGTGAGCTTCAACACTCAAATACCGATGGGGCTTGTGCAAAGGAGGATGAGACCGATGCTAGCTCTTCAATATCTTACGACCAGCTGGCACCATTCCACAAGGACAACCTGAAAAAGATGCTTGCCGTTTCAAAAAGTCTTAAGATTCTTCCCTGTTTGAGCGGCCAATATATGGTGCGCTTTACGGACGTCAGCCAGAGATTGGATCACGTTCACTTGTGGCGAACGGTAAACTTGGTTGAGAAGGAGTGCACATGTAGACGGTGGCAAGACACAAAATTCCCATGCATTCACGCCTTAAAAGCGGCCGTGTATCATGGCATGCACATTACTGAATTGTTTGACTGGGACAACCACACATCTGTGACCTATCGCTCAACGTATTTTCACCAATTCGTTCCGGGCGTGAGTTCAAGCAGAATTGTACGAGACGATCATCTCTTCGTTCCAGCGGTTAATGTGCCACCAGAGGAACTGGGCAAGCGAGGACGAAAACCGGGGCCTCCGTCGAAGCACAAACGCAAATCACACAGACCGGGATCCGCAGTAACACCTACAGTTACAATGACACAGTAGGTCTCGAGCGCTGTACCCAAAGAGATACTAAAGGCTAAACTGTGCGACTCGTACGGCTGAGACTTTTGGTCGAAATCGTACGATTAATAACTGAGCAAGATCGTACGACCTAGATTTTTTTAGAAACCCAAAAATATAAACCTGATTGATTAATTTTCATAATCTATGTATTGTATGTCTATTCAGTTAATATATTTGGTGCTTTCAGATTTAATTTCAAAATGGTACTTATATAATTTCTTATAAAATTAAAATTGAGATCTGCTATATAAAAAAAGGCAAGGAAATTTACATCTGAATAACCCCACGGCATTGCGGGCACAGAGGTGTGTTCTGCTCGCTGAGTGCATGGGCGACAAGTGCTGACATACAATCTCTGCATGCAGCGTGTAGGCAATTTGGCGGGGTTACCGGATTCTCAAGGACACCCAAGCAAATGGGGCAGTTGTTGGAGGTGGCAGTATCCTCGTCTCTGCGGGGCATGTCATCATCGTCATCAGATATTACGATGATGACAGGAGCCGCAGGCTGCACACGCCGCGATCTTCTTGTTGCTGGAGGTTCTTCAAGCGGTGGAGAGGGGGGCTCTGTTGGTGTCGACTCTCTTAATTCCGCGACAGGATATGGTACTGCTTCTGGAACTGAGCTCGTAGAGCCCTGGATGGGTGGAGAATCTTGATGCTGGACCAACCGCAGCGCAAGCTGCTCGAGAGCCCCACGACGAGCTCTTGAAAATCGACCATCGTAAGCAAGCTTGGCTGCTCGAGCTTCCTGAAGTCGGCGGGCCTTGAGAGTCGGGTCATGCTGCTCCAGGCAGACTTGGCGACCGACATGCTTTCTGAGGCTATGTGCTGACAGAACTCGACCGCAAACAGGGCAAGCGACTCGCTCGGACATCGTAGATAGATTAATAAACCTACTTACATCGATGACTTTTTGTTGTGTTGCTTCATCGTCTTGTAATACGTATTAATATCTGATCTAACCCTCAACTTCTTATTCCTTATTATACCTACTTACAAGTAGGTTGGTCAACCTTACTTTTTTTTTCCATTTTGGACCCAATTTACTTGCTAAAGTTAATTCCTCGACTATTGACACAAGGGGAGGATCCATTCCTGAGGAAGGACATCCATTATGGATGTCATCGGAGTCTTCTCGCACGCGCCTTCCTGCAAATTTCCAAAAGTGGAGGACTTGGCGTGAATTCTATCACCCTCCTAAACCCGAACCCAGACCTTCCTGGTATTAACCCTATAATATACCTCGCTCGGTCCTATAGGCTGTAGGACCGAGCGAGGTTTATTCCTGGGTCTACGCCCGCGTGCTTCGTACACGGATCTTAAACCGCAGGCATGGATTCGTGTTGCCGAGCGAGTGGCTTTCATCTCCTTCTTCTTATTTCGTACTTTATGGGGAAAATCGTCGACTTTCACATCCCAAGTAATCCCCTTGTGTTCTCTTCTGAGAAATGTAAAGTATAAACGGACGGTCAGAACTGTAAGTAATTTACAGCACTAAAACTGTAAATAAATTCTATGATCTGCATCAAAACCAGCAAAGAATATTTTTTTCTGTAATTTACAGAACGGTGCGGTCGTACGCTAGGCTTGTCCTGAGCTGCTTTCCTGTTGCATCAGCAGGAGAGCAGTGTTTTTCGGATGACCTCGGCCTACCGTACGGAGCCGTTCGGATAACCGGATATACTTGTAGGTTCTGTTTACAGTAAAATGAAATAGACGAAACATGACATGTTCTCTTCACGCGCTCTTGTCCTGATCTTTAGTGTCGTCAACGGTGGAGCCGTCCAGGAAGCTTACATTGTAGAGCGCAAGCTGCAGGAAACTGGTGACCGCGGTCAACGCGAAGCGTGCCGAGAAGAGATTTAAAGTCGTCTGCATCAGCAGCAAGCTCAGCGTCGCAAGCTCTGGAAAACGACGTGGCCCCGAACAGCCCCATCAGCACGCGCGGCTCGGAGTCCAAGTCGGACGGATCGATGCCCACAGTGCGCTACAACGCAAATCATCAGGACGACCAACTTGGTCACCAAGTCAGCCAAAAATGGTGTCTGCGGGCCAAGGACGTAGCAGTGGCCACGCGAATCAAGTCGGCCGGTGCGTACTTGTACAGCGACCTCAAGTACATCGGACTGGGCTACAAGTACGACAGAAATAAGTTGTACAAGCATTACTGGGTACTGAAAAGCACAACTGAAAACCTTATACAAGTAAAGCCAAGAATGGCTAATGGGTTTTCTAAGTTGTATGCCTTTCATGCCAGTAGTTTATATTGAGAGACATCACAATATGCCATACTTGTTCACCCTCCCTCCAACGTCGGTCACAGCTCCCAGTTTCACAAAGTTATCCATAATATTCTTCAATTCACATTTGAATTTGCGACTTTCGCTTCGACAACTCATTTCATTTTAAATTATTGACAGAGATCTGTTGCTAACATGTGTAAATATAAAAAAAAACTTCAAGACCACCATGATACTGTAGGTACCTGAATTTATGCTGAGGGCCAACACTCTATGGATCACCTACCCAGCTGGACACGTACCAGCTTCGAGCGTCATCTTTTGTGCTGTTCGAGGTCGAATGATTGATCAGCTGCAACTGTTCGTGGGTGCATTATTCCGGAGTGACATAGAGACTCTACGAAAGAGTTCATCTCGATGGCCTATACAGAAATCACAAGCTGTGCAATGTTGGCTCCTTCCAGGTTGGAGTCCAACCATCGCTCACTTTTCAATTTGCACAGCAATTGCAACACCGCCTTTTCCACCGACAATAAACACCCAGCTACCACCATGAACATCAAGGAACTGTAGCGTTTGCTCTTGTGGCACTCGTCGGTATGACTAGCGCTGAGACTGCTGCGCACGGAGATCGCGAGCTTCAGTTCGCCGACTTCAGCAAGAAGCTCCTTGATGCGGTAAACGCCAAGCGTGCTGCGAAGGGACTCAAGTCGGTTTGCATCAACACGAAGCTGGCAAAGGCTGCGCAAGTCTTGGCGAGTGATAACGCCAAGAACAACAAGGTCACCACCAAGGGCTCTGATGGTTCGACTCCGTCGTCGCGCTACAGCGCTCAGAAAATCAAGACAACACAGTCGGCCGAGCTTGTGGCCGCTGGTCAAGCGAGCGTAGACGCGGTCGTGGCGACTTGGATCAAGTCTTCAAGTGCTTACTTATACAGTGACCTCAAGTTCATCGGCCCTGGCTACGCCTACGACAAGACCAAGACATATAAACACTACTGGGTGCTCGACCTCGCTAACGCCAATGGTGAGGCCTGTGCATAAATTGCTTAAATGCTATCATGTAAGATCGCGTTGAGGATGCAACACCAATATCGGTACTGTAGGAACATCTTTTCGCCTATCAAAGAAGCTGTCCAATATCTCGTCTTTTTTTTTTAAATACTGTAAAAGGAGCAGTAGTACAATGGTTTAGACCTTTTTTTACTGTAAAACTACAGGTCGTCCTTTAGATCGATTTTCTGAATAAATGACGGATAGATTACCGATGGATAATGCAATACTTCCAGGGGCTAATGGTAGCCAAATATGATATGATATTTTTTATAGTAGTAGTACAATTTTCAATATCAAATATTAATAGTAGCTCAAATTTTCAAAAGCTAATATGATATTCTGATATTAACTCGGCGATTCAAAAAATACTAGATACTAGATGATATTTTATGATATTTTCTCAATTAAGTACGATTTTAGAAGGACCACATGTCCGAGAGTGTCCTTCAAAACCTTACATAAATAATATCATATTCTCGAAATTGGTTCAAATTTCAATGGCCAGCATCAATCACTTTGGAATCCGCGAGTTACTGAAACGGATGAGCTTCTCGCTGGGTGACAGCAAAAATATGCTGGAGCCTCATCGTGCTTCATAAGCACATCGACTTACTCCAGTGGTTTCGAGAAATAGGTGCGGTAGAGTATCCGGTAATTGCAACGATGGCGCGCCTTCGGCTTGGGAAAGTGGCATCAACAGCTTTTCAGGAACGTGTATTTTCCACAGGCTCTCAAGTTATGAACGACTTAAGGGCGCAGACAAAGAGCACTCGAGCCGAGAAACAACTGCTGTTGAAACACAACAGCACCGATATTGAAAAGATGGGGAGAGCATATGAGTGTATTTTAGCATCACCGGTATAATCAAGCGTTCAGTTTTGCTTTTAAGACTTTCAAATATATCATGTTCGCTATGCAGCCGTCACTTTCGTTTGGGAAGCATTAATTGGGTCTAAATTTGCTGAGAAAGCCTCTGATACCTTCAACCATAACGCATACAAGCAAATTCAGTGACGAAATTCTCAAAATGCACCCAAATCTGTGGTATTTCACTGTAACACAGGCGAAAACCGCAGTTGTTTAAAGTGGATAGAGTAGAATCAAGATACTTGTTCATATTCTCTACTAGCCCCGCTCACGTGGTGCGTCTCACAAGCCTGCAAGCTGCGACGTTTGCTTGATGCATCCAGCACTGCACGCCAGCCTTGCCGTCACTCCACACCATGCCATGGCTCAATTTCTAGTGCCATGGCATGGCACACGTGGCAGTGGCTAAGAACCACCCTGAGGAGGAAGCAGTGTGTTGAAACCCCAACACCCTAATTCCTCTACGTAGATCGGCGACGACGTCGGAGTGCTATTTTATCAGATACTGAGTCGGGTAGAGGCGAGTCGACCGTAGGCGCCGCGGGTGTCAGCTTGTTCAACACGGAGGTGGCGAGTTCATTAACTTTCTTGACGTTTTCACTTTGTTGCTGTCGGACACCGTCACATTTCTCGTCTACGAGGAGAGGGTTATTATGTGGAAGCTCGGCGCTTGCAAGGGCAATGACCATGATGACGACTACTGTAGCACGGACAGGATGAAGGTAACCTTCATCTTTGCAGCTCGGGGAATTTCGAAATGGTGAACCCAGCAGTGTCGAGGAGACGACGGGGTGAAAAGGTGATCGCTGCATCGTTGTGACGCCATGAAGAAAGCTCATCGTCACAATTGTTCCGGACTCGATCCCCTCACTATGATTAGTAATATTTCCGCTAGTCGATAGTTAACGACATATTATTGGTGGACTAAACCCGATTACGCAATCTTTAAAAAACATAATATCGTATTAACTAATATTAAGCTAATATTTAATAATATTATATTGTCTCAGAGGAAAATATTAGGTAATATTTTTTATATTAAGTGGTCTACAGGTGATATTTTCAGAATATTAACTTTACCGATATTGGAGTTACCATTAACCCCTGAATACTTCGTTCCGACATCGGATTTAGCCCTTTTTCTGACAGTTGTTGATCCCCAAAGTTTTGAGCTATTTTGAAAGCTGTTCTGTACATGGACTGTAATGCTCCCTTAACTTCAATATTAGTGGTTCTCACGGCTGGCAGGTAGGTTTGAACAGCCAATCACATCAAACCTTCCTGTCCTGTTTTTTTTCAACTAAAACCTACTCGGAAAACTCGGTAGGTTTGGCAAAGAAGTGAAGGTATAGTGTTATTGGTGCAAACGACTAGGAGAAGGTTTAATTTGATTGGTTGATTCAAGCAGAAATGCCCTGAGCCCTGAATCAGGCTCCATTTCCCAGTTTTGACGACGTCTGGACGACCCAGGTAGCGGTGGGAGACTATCGCGCAGTAGAACATATCGTCTTCGTTTTCGTCGTTCTCGCTTCCCTGGTCACAAAGCTGTTGAAGTGTAAGTCTGCGGCTCTTGTAGTTGAGCAATGGAGCAGGTATCAGACCGTTGTATGCGAGGCGGCGAGAATCAGAAGGACAGGGCGAGAAATCGCCAAGGTTAAAAATCAATCCATCTTTTTCTTTGTTGTTTGCTGAGAGCGTGTGGTCTTGGAGTGAGTGCGATTCCCAACAGGGTTCTGAGCCCAACGCGATTGACTTCCTCGCTCGCTCGGAAAACAAGATGTCGAAGCCTCTCAAGTACAACAATGATGGTGTGCCCAAGAACTTGGACGGGAAGGATTGGAGAACCTACAAGTGGGCAATGGAAACAGTATTCTGTGAGAAGGAAATGATCAACATTGCAGACGGTAGTTTGGAGCGCTCAACTCTCACCACGGCAGAAGGTGAAGCTGAGTTTGACCGGAAACAGCTTCAGATTAAGCGTATGGTAGGTACATCGGTTTCATCCGACATCCTACAACAAATACGGGACAAGAAGTCAGGAACGGAGATTTGGCAGGCCTTGGTGGATTTGTTTGAGAACAAAACAAATAAGACAGTCAAAGTGCACAGAATTCGCCGGTTGATGAATGAAATGTGGGACTCAAAACTGGCACCTGGCGGTGATGCCAATCTCCATTTGTGTAAGATGTTTAACACTCGAACTGAGCTGGAAATGTTACAGTACGAGGTTAGTGATATCGATATGGTTGAGATGATGCTGGAAAGCCTTCCTTCTCAAGCAGAGTTCGATAGTTTGAAGTCGGCAGTTCGCTACAGCGCAGATCCAGATGCATTCACACCTACAAAACTCCATAAGATGATTCGAGCAGCCTCGGCGAGACAGGTTGAATTTCATGGTAAGAACGGTGGAGGAAAGCGCGGAGGACATAAAGGCATTGCGAACAAAACAGAAGAGAAGGGCAAGACGGATAATCAGCAGCAGCAATATAAGCACAGTATTAAGTATCCCAAGAAGTGCTTTATATGTGGTAGTACTGAGCATCTCAAGGTGGATTGCCCACAGTGAGGAAAGAAACAAAGTGGTACAAATCCTGGAGAAACTGAACAAAAGAGGAAACCGAGAACAAATGTGACGATACGTAGGACTACCACACGATCGTATAATGGTGATATCGATGGTGAAGAGATCAGTATGGTCACTACGGCACCCGGAACACTGGGACATCATGATGATTTCGAGGTGGAAGATACTTCTGATAATCATAAAGATGACGAACTTCAGAAGGAAGATAAGGAAGATGGGGAGACGGATACTGGTGGTGCGTGATGGTATTTCGATACCGCCGCAAACACACATATCACCGGGAATCGATCCTTCTACATCTCTTTCACTGAAGATGCGTCTCAGGCCCAGAGTGTGCATGGGGTATCGTCGGAGATTGTTTCTCGACTTGCTGGGGTGGGCACAGTTCAGCTTATAACAATAGTGAACGGGGTCCAAAGAGTGTTGTTCCTGAATGATGTTTTCTACCTACCTGGAGCGGAGCATGGATTGCTCTCGCCCGGTTTGGCGGCCGAACAGGGATTAGAGTTTGACTATGATCGTGAGACAAGAAGTTTCATGATCCAAGATGAGGGTCAGACTGTTGCTGTAGCCGTTCCATTTGAAGCGACGTGGGGGTTCCACGTGACTCATCCTACTGACAGTGGAGTTGTTATACCACAAGACCAACCGTCTTGCAATTTCACGATAGCTGAGGGAGTCGCATCGTTGACACTCTGGCATGAACGGCTTGCTCATACGTGCCCCAAGTATTTGAAGACGATGGTAGATAAAGGTCTTGTGCGTGGCATGATGCTGACTCAGCGCCAGCAAGACACTTGTGACGCCTGTCATATTGGCAAGCAAAAGCAGAAAGCGCATCGCAAGAAGCTTGAACGTGGGCTCAAGAAGCCAAATCAAATTGTCTACGCTGACTTGCTAATCCCAAGCAAGGGAAATGGTACTAACTACGAAGCAGTCTCCACCGCGTAATCATGTTCATGTTGTTCTTCAAGTTCCCCTAATTCTCATGGATGGATACTCACGCTTTGTGACTGCTCACATGCTGATAAATAAGTCGAATCAAGTTGTGAACAAGCACATTAAAGAGTACATTCTATGGGCAGAACGCCAAGCAGGTCGAGAAATTAGTGGCGAAGGACAGTGCGTGTGCAGAGTTTAGCAAGTACTGACTGATAAGGGCGGGGAGTTTGTAAATGGTGAAATCGAGAACTGGTACAAAGCGTATGGTATTGAACATATCAAGGTTGGTCCACGATGCTCCCAATTGAATCTTTGCGAGAGAACTCATCAGTCCTTGGTCGGAATGACTAAGTCTATGATGACCCACGCTGGATTTCCACGCAATATGTGGCCTGAGGCTATGCGCAATGCGGTATACATCAAGAATCGAGTGTACAACATGGGTACGCAGGGAATTCCTTATGAGAAGATGTTTAGCCTCAAACCTGATCTACACCACATTCGCACATTTGGATCATTGGCGTATGTCCACGTGCCAGTGACACCTGGGCGACGTAAGCCTCACGACAACGCAAGAATAGGATTCGTTCTAGGCTACACAGAGGATGTGGTCGGATGCAAAGTATTCTTTCCGGAAGAAAGGACAGTCAAGTTTGTCCCGGACTTGCGAGTGGCTGAAGATGTACTGTATCGTGATCGACACGAGGTCGATCTTGAGGATGCAGATTTCGCAAGCTGATGAGACCAGCAAAATGGATGGTAGTGATGAAGAAATGACTACAATGATTCTAGATGCTGATACACATTCTGCAAGTGAGTTACAAGTAGACGAGACCATAATGTTGGACACATTGGATCTCGAGGGAGGCAAATACGTTGCAGAAGATGTCCTCGAGGCTGATGCTGTTGGTGCAAATAGTCTATATACTCAATATGAAAGTGAAGCTCAGGGCGAAAACACCACGGCTGGTCATGATGTTTGTGAGCGTGAGCGCAGTCAACAAACACTCAATGAACCAAGTGCTGCAGTAAACGGTACTGAAGTCGGAGTAACTATTGCCGATGAGATGACAAGTAAGACAGCTAAGACTTGTGAACAATGTTACACCGAGAAAAAGAGTGGACTTGATGAGCAAAACCCAAGTCGGACTGGAGTATGTGATACACAGGATACTGGTGTTTGTGATGGAAATGAATCTACCACTGTACTGTGCGAATCGGAAGCTAGTGTGGAAGAGGTGAACTCAGAGATCGATAGTGAGGTAGTGCTGGATGCGATGGATGGGAAAGATGAAGTGACGATAGCAAGTGTCTTCACTACAAGCAGTGCTGGTGAGCAAAACGAAAACGTGGAGATGATGACAGAAACGGTGGACGCCAGTAGCTTGATCAATCGAATGCGGGACAGAAAGCGAGCACAGCGCGATGAGACGACTTCGGAGGAACTGAGGGTCGAACGCGGTGCTGAAAAGGCGGAGCCTAAGCGTACGCGTACTGGAATTCGTGAGTTTATGAGCGTCGTCGTCCACGGTATCTGGACGATTATGTGGTAAACATGACCCAGAAAATCTCGCGAGTGCAAGACAAGAGCGGCAAGCCTATTAGGGCAAGTGACGTGAAAATACCTAGGAGCCGGCGCGAAGCCAGACGATCGAAGTGTGCAGATTTCTGGTTATTGTCCGAAATGGAAGAAATGGCTGCACTCAAAGCGAAAGGCGTTATTGTGGAGATTCCTGAAGAGGAAGTCCCGGAAGATGCTAAGCCAATTAGCACGCAGTGGGTGTATGCTTTGAAATCTGATCATGAGGGCTACGTGATTCGTTTTAAGGCTCGGATAGTAGCGCTCGGAAACTATCAGAGACCTGGGATCGATTTTCGCGAGAACTTTGCGCCCGTGGCTAGGATGTCATCGTTTCGACTGCTGCTAGCATTGGCTGCAGTGCTGCATCTACAGGTCTATGGGGGTGATATCAACACAGCATATCTAAACGCGACACTAAGTATTCGACAGTACCTGAAGTCTATTGATGGCTATCCATGCCAGATAAGTGGACACATATACGCCGTTGTGAAGGCTCTGTACGGATTAAGACAGTCTGGTCGAGAGTGGAATTCGGAGCTAAACACGTGGCTATTGAACCATGAGTACCAGCGCTCGATGACAGAACCATGCCTGTACTTTCGGTTTAAAGGAGGGACTGTCATGCTATTACTCATCTACGTGGATGATATCCTCGTTGCCACAAATGATGAAGCAAGCAAAGGTTCACTGTTCAAAGAGTTGGATGATGCGTACGGGATTAAAGACCAAGGTTTAATGACTCAATACTTGGGTGTTGAAGTAGTGCAAACTTCGGATCATATCACTATTTGTCAGAACAAGTATGCTAATGAGATTTTGGCTGAGTTTGGGTATGGTGGAGCTCACGCGGTGGGAAATCCGATGGAAGTAAATGCTAGATTTGCTCCCCTGGCTGAAAATCACGATAGTGATACAAGTTTTCCATATCGCAAGGCAGTTGGAATGCTCATGTATTTGGCTACCAGCACTCGACCGGACCTGGCGTATGCATTGGGACAGCTAAGTCGGTTCGTATCCAATCCATCTAGCAAACACGTGGGTGCTATGAAGCGAGTTCTACGCTACTTGGTTGGCACTACAAATTACGGAATCACGTACAATCGACAGAACGATGAAAGCGATTCTGTTGTGCTCGAGGGCTTCTGTGATAGTGACTGGGCTAACGACCCTGAAACCCGGAAGAGCACTACTGGATTTATCTTTACGCTAGCTGGAGGCGCGGTTTCGTGGATGTCGAGACGACAGAGCATTGTTGCTCTTTCTACTGCTGAGGCTGAATATGTTGCCTCTTATGAGGCCACAATGGAAGCAGCAGCTGAAAGCAACATACTGCAAGAGATCATTTTAAAACAAATGATTAAGCTACGTATTGGTATTGATAGCCAAGCTGCACTGATCATGGCCGTGAATTCTAGCTACAGTCGGCGTACCAGACACATTGAACTGAGGTGGCACTATGTGCGTGAACAAATCGACAAGGAGGCGGTTGAGTTTTACAAAGTGAAGGGGACAGACAACCCAGCAGATACGCTCACCAAGCCGCTAGATAAAACTCGGCTCCACCAGCTACTGAGATTGACAGGTGTTGGTACCGGTGTTAATGATGCGGAGCATTGTCAAAGCCATGCTTCGAGGGAGGCATGTTGAAGTGTAAGTCTGCGGCTCTTGTAGTTGAACAATGGAGCAGGTATCAGACCGTTGTATGCGAGGCGGCGAGAATCAGAAGGACAGGGCGAGAAATCGCCAAGGTGTAAAATCAATCAATCTTTTTCTTTGTTGTTTGCTGAGAGCGTGTGGTCTTGGAGTGAGTGCGATTCCCAACAAAAGTAGATAGCTTAGAGCTGAGTGCTGTAGGTGCAGCAGCAGCGCTGCTCGTAGAGATCGCCCCATTCTCACCTTCAGCGCTCACTTACCAATGAAGTCACTGGCTGTGACTGTCAGTAGCCCCTGCACACGCTGCTCACAGTTGAACAATGAAGGTTTGATTTGATTGGCTTACGAAACCTTCGTACCTTCAGAACCACTATTAGTGGATTATATTAGTATCCGCGAGTATTAATTTAGAGTACAGCGCATAGTATTTTTTCGTCCGCTCTAAAATTACTAATACTATTAAAAGCGCAGCTTGCGCTTTGCACATCGTCTTCACTTCAACGTTGGTTTCGGTGTGTTATGCTCCATAACTTACTGTACTATCTTGACATAACGCAACTTGTATAATAACAGTACTGTACATGTACTGGGCCGCCATAGGGATCACCCATAGAGAGTTTCCCATCTTGCCACAAAATATTGCAGGAAATCACGGGCTTTGCCAAAATGAAATCTGCATCCCTCTTGTTGAACAACAAACTGCAGGTAACTTGGTCACAGGAAACGAGCGCCCTTCTTACTTTCCAATTTGCAACGGAAATCAAGAACCTACAAGACGACAAGAAGCAAGCAACACTATGAACATTAAAGGGCTGTTCGCGCTAGCACTAGTTTATCTCGTCGGGGCGACCAATGCCAATACGGAGAGCCACGTTGCCCGCGAGCTGCAAGTGGCCGATTTCAGCACCAAGCTCCTTAACGTCGTGAACGCTAAGCGGGCGGAGAAGGGTCTAAAGCCCGTCTGCATCAACTCAAAGCTTGCCAAGGCGGCGCAGATTCTTGCGGACGACAACGCCAAGAATAACAAGGTCAGCACTCGTGGATCGGACGGCTCCACTCCTACGTCGCGGTACAAAGCTCAGGACATTTACCCCGAACAGTCTGCAGAGCTCGCCGCTGCCGGTCAGGCCAGCGCGGACGCTGTGGTGGCCACTTGGATCAAATCTTCAAGCGCGTACCTCTTCAGCGACTTAAAGTTCATCGGCCCTGGTTACGCCTACGACAAGACCAAGCTGTACAAGCACTACTGGGTCATGGACATGGCCAATGCTGATGGTGAGGTCTGCGCTTAGACTGCAGCAACTATGCCAACGAACTTTTAGCTCTATGATAGCGAAGTACAATCGATAACATCGTAATCCAGCGATATTTTGCTCATGTACAATTAACTTGTTTCAGTTTACGTGTACTTGATCGCTTCTCATCCAACATTTTTTGACATTTCCTAGCTGAGTTTTGAGTTTCCTCCAATCCCCTTTCCCAATTACACCCAATTTTAGCCACTCATCCCTCTGGAGATAGTGACCAGCCAAAAACACATTACCCAATCGTCTCGATGGTCCGTGCTGCAATCGCCACCAAGTCGAAGAAGAAGCCGGCGGACTTCAAGCGGCCCAAGCGCAAGGTCGGCCGGCGGGCTACGCCAGCAGCGAATGTGACATCCGTGGGCATCACCTCGCGACGCATTAACCTGCTGGAACAGTCACTACTACAGGATAAGGCCGGCGCGGCGCAACTAACCCACCGGCGTCAGGCACTACCAGAACTGCTGCAACAGGCGGGCCACTACAACGCGCATGTACGGCAGCGCGCGCTACAGGGTATTAAGGAGCTGGCCGCGCAGGCCACAGCAGCCAACCTTCGGGCCAACGCTTCGGTGCTGCTGGAGCGCTTTTTGCCTACACTGCTGGACGAGGAGGCCGTGGTGCGCGAGGCCGCGGTGCAGGCATGGAAGGCCATACTACCAGTTCTTCGCAGTGCGCTAGCCCCCTTCGCCACCCTCGTGGCCACTTATCTATGCAGTGGCCTGACCCATTTGCAAATAGGTGTGCGGCAGGACGCACTCAAAGCTATTGACGAGCTGGTGGACGACGCGCCCGAGCTGCTACGCGAGGATGCAGGACGTGAGGCCTTGGCCAGACTACTAGAGAACTTCAGGGATTTGATTTGTGCCGCACAGACACAAGGTATCCGGATGATGAACACATACGACTTATTTACTGGGCACGGACTCGTCGAGTGCGGCCATTAAGAAAGGAGCCAATGGCCGGAAAAGCAGCAAGGCCAAGCAGAAAAATAAGAAGCCAAAGACGCCGTCAGGAGCTCTGACACTGAGATTCTCGGCGCTCAAGGTGCTGCATAAATTGATATTATCTCTAAGCGTTGGCCACCAGAATGGGAAGATGGACACGACCCGGTCGGCTCCGGTCCCGACGACCAAGACGCTACTGCTGTTCCCCACCCCGCAGCTTCTTACGCTCAGTATGTTTGCGGCCGCGTCCGTGACTACCAGCTCTGGAGAGAAGGCGAGTGCTTCATGGCAGGACAAAGTACGGGCGTTGCTACCAGCTCTACTGGATCTGTGGCTGGAGTGTCTGGAAGGAAGCACCGACGCACTTTCGGACGTCCATGTGGAGCACATGAAGTACATTGTGGAGTGCACAACTGCTGTGGTTGGCGCTAATACCGATAGACTGAATAGTACCGAGGACGACACGAAGAAGAGCGACTTCTTCCAGGCCGCGTTAAGGTTACGCGAGGAACTTCTGGCTCCGGAGAGTTTCCCCATGCTACCGAGTGCCAGTGCAACGCTCGCTGCTGCTGATGGTCAGGGGCTTTCGAGATGGCATGGGATGAACGCAGCGCTCGCTAAGTTGGCCTGTGAGTATCTTGGTCTTCCCGCGTTGACGCGTGGCTCCGACAAGGAGGAGGCGTTGGACGCGCGTGTGTGCTCCTATGTCGTTACCACGCTGGCCAAGTACAAGGAGACGGCCGAGCTGCGTGCTGTGGCCAGCATGCAGAACGTGCTCCAGCCTCTTCTACAAGTGGTGACACTCATCTTGGCGTCGGCTTCGCAACGTAGTGAAGATATCGACAAGACGGCCGCTGAACGAACGCTCTTACTGGACGCTGTGACGCAGTTCTACGTGCTGTGTACGCCCAAGTCGGTCAGTTTCCGTAGCTGCACAACATTCGCCGTCGAGCAGCTCGAGATTGCGCTCCGTGGCCAGCAACGACAGAGCTACAAACTGGCGTGGCCCATGGTGATGCAGTGGGTGGTGTGTCTTGCAGATCTGCTTGGCCAACTCGATCCGCAGCACATGGAGCTCGGCCGACGCAGCTTACTGGCCTTGATCTCCATCCTCAAGCAGCTTCCTGCTGAGTTCGCAACTGGCGACCAGATGGACGGAGTGTTAGCGAACTTGTCAGCGTTCTTCGACCTCGCGGCGGTGCCGTCTGCGTCCATGAGTGAAGACGAGAAGCAGAGAATGTTGGCTCGTACCCGGTTCGATGCGTTGGGCGCAGCAGACCAGCTCGCCTTCGTGGCGCTCGTCTATCACCTTCCTCGGTATCCTGTGTCGCTGCTGCGTGCGCTGGCGAGTTGTTGCAAGAGTTCGCGTATAAACTGTGAAGCGAAGAGCTTCCTGGTTGATATTCTGTTCCAGCGACGTGAGGCTGTGGATCTCGCGCACATTGTGAGTTTCCTGGTCAGCACAGCGCTCGCTCCGGTGGCATCGAACGCTGTCCAGCAGCGTCAGCAGCTTCAACTTGTTGATCACGTGTGCCACACGTTTGTTGCGATGAACTTGGGCAGTTCCTTGCCAAAGATTCTGACGCCGACGCTGGCCAAGGCTCAAGCTCGTGAGGAGATGAACGCGACGGAGCTGCACACGTTGCTGCTGCTTTACCGCACGTGTGTGTCGTCGGCTGCGACTCCGACTCAGCGCTCGGAGATCCCCGTGCAGATGGAGAAGGAGCTGACGAGTTTGTGTGTCAAGGTCATGACCTCTTTCTCTGCTACAGCATCGGAGCAGGCGACGACGCCAGAGGAGATTGATACGCGCGAACAGGAGCGATTGTTACTGGAGGCTTGTGGATCGACCTTGGCTCTTGGCGAGATGAACATCTTTGCGTCGTTCTTGGAGGAACTTCTGGTGGCTCAACAGGTGGCTGCGTTGACAAGGAGGTTGCGTGTGCTTCAAGAGCTTGTGCGGACAGCGAGTCTGGCAGGAGCTTTCAAACGTCATCACAGCGAAGTTGAGAAACTGGTGCGTGCGGTGGAGCAGCAACACGCCGGCGAAGAGGAAGTTGCGCAGCTAGTTCGACAAGTACGCGGTGACCTGGAGCTGCTTGCAGTGGGATAGAAAACTGAAGAGGAAAATAGACAAAGAGTGGATATGTATGAAGTCTTTTTTTTTTCCTGTCGCCTTTTCTACTGAGCTGGCGAAGAAAACATGACGGTGTCAAGTGCCACACTTCTTGTCGCCTTGGGAGTGAGCTACTTCCTGTTTGCTGCTGCTCCAGCGGCGATGTCAGAGGACAACCCGCAGGTACGATCAGATTATTTATAATATTGTTTTTTACTTACCTCTTGTTGATTGTTATCAGGCATGCAAATGGGACATCAAGATGTGTGCTGATGGCACGTGGGTCTATCGCTCTGCGGAGATCAACTGCGAGTTCGACGAGTGTTCGGCCGGATATCAACTATGAAGGCTTTTCGACAAACAGCTTTAAGAATGCTAGGCATTTCTAGTGCTAGATAACGGCGCAAAAACTTATTCTACTGCACTGCAAAGCGTCGGCTGTTAACTTTTTAAACTTAAAAATGAAACATCGGTCGTGGATTAAGGTGATAGCCGCGCTGTCTCCGAGAACAGCGTTCCGAAAGACTAAGAGCAATCCTACGGCGTCCGATGCAGCTGCATCCCCAGCCCCTCCGATCCCGCTTTCAATGCTGGCGACACTGGCTCGTGTGGTGCAGTTCCTAGATAAAAGCTACCTCGAAGAAGAAGACCTCTACAGTAAACCTGGAGTTGGACTGGAGCGCCAAGAAGTACTTCGTCTCTGTAGATGCAATCAACTGCCGGATTTGTCCGTGTACAGTCCTCACTCTATCGCTACTGTCGTCAAAGAGGTGGGAAAGTTAAATCGGCTAAAAAAAATCTTTTTCTAACGCTAACAAGTATTTGCCTCAGATACTCGGCGAACGGTATGAGCCGCTCATTCCTGCTGATATCAGTCAGCAACTACTGGAAGCTGTTTCTGCTGGCCAAATGGACGATAAAGCAGAAAATGATGTCACGGAGATTTTTAAACAAATTCCTTTCTCCACGCGCGAGTTTTTACAAGTCTTTCTGAATCATTTACATACTGTACGTCTCGTATGAACAATTTCGCGTGGAAAATGACAGCGTTCACTCACTATGCGTTAAGGTTGCAGCAAGTGGATCAAGTCGTTTGAGTGTGGCGAATCTTGCTTTGAATGTTGGCATCGCATTGGTTCGACCACCGGAGGACAAGACAACTGTGAACTCGAGTATGAACAGCGTTATATTGTTCTTCAAAAGGTTACTTAAATTATTTTTTACTTACTCTGTGTTTCAGAGCTTATGATGCGCCGTCGAAAATGCATCGCTGAGTTCCTCATCCGACAAGCTCCGTCATTACCCTACGACTGCGCGACTGAAATGAATATCCCTGCTATCCCTGAAGAGATAACTGCGTCTATGGTTGATACAACCGACCCTGCGTCGACGAAGCAACTGCACTTTATTCAAGCTACTTGGGATGCTTACAAGACATCTTTTGCTATTGAGCAGCTGGAGGTGAGAACTTCACATCTTTACCCGGTTAATGTAAGATTATATATATTTTTACATTTCCCTCAGCAAATATTTAGCAAATTTGGCCAGATTGAGAGTCTTGGAGTAAATGCTCTAGGCAACAGGTACGACAACTATCTAGGCCTAGTGGTTAATATCACACTGACAGCAAATTATTTTATTGTCTGGACAGAGCGATCATAGCCTACACTAATACTGACGGAGCTGAAGCAGCTGAACAGGCTTCAACGCCTGCTCTCCGCATTCGTCGTCGCAAACCGAGGCGAGATGAAACGCGACGTGAATATTCCCCACGCAGCTCGGATCACTCGAAGCCTCTAAGCAACCTCAGCGTGCATGACGAAAGCTCCACAATTGTTTTAGAAAATGACAGTGTACCCTCTCGGGATCTATCGGAACCAGAAAGCAAATTAGGTCCTATTATGGAGACGGACGCTGCTGAACAGAGTCAAGATACAGAAGATAATCCGATCGATGAGACGATTGTAGTTGAAGATATTGAGGACGACCAGTACGACGACGTTCCTGATCAAGCGAAGACTACTCGTCATCTACAACCAAATGAAAATACCTCACTCACGAATATAAATGACCAACGCAAGGAGCAAGAGGCGAAAAGAACTGTCAACGACGAGAGTTTGCAGCAAAACTTAGTAAACAACAGGCAAATGACTCAGCTAATTGTGCCCGAGGGACAAGAAGTAGCCGAGCCAGTTAGAATCACAACGGAGCTGGACGCAAGTGAAGCTGTTGCTGCTACTGAAATAGGTCACCAAAAAGAATTAGGCGATGACACGGCACTGCCTCCACGAGCAACTTCGCTTGACGACGAGCTGGCACATGAAAAGCATGGAATGTCAGTTGAAAATTCCGCGGTGCGGGAATCCCTACCAGTCGAAAACGAGCAGGAAACAATTGATGAAATAACGGCACAAAAGGACAAAACGTTTCTTCCCGAAGCAGCAGAGCAGGTTGAATCCTCAGCGCTTACATCGGAACTAGCTGCAAAGAACGCGACTCCAACTTCTGGGCAAGACGATTTTAACCTGTCGACAGCTCCAACAAAAAATGCTGTCTCAATTGGGGAGTTGCAAAGCAGGCTTCTTGACATGGAAAAGGTACTTTTTTAGATGTCACTGATCCGAAAACGTTGCGACTTACTAAAACTCGTGTTCCAAATTTCTTTTTTTTTGTAGATTCTTTGTACATCCACTTCGGCCTTGTCCTCGACGAAGCTGACGAACGAATTTGAACGCGCAGTGCTCCAGCTTCACAAACAGATTCTCGATATGGTGGCTGAGTGTCTGGTATTTGCGGGGTTAAGACACGGTGACGTTTCTGCCAAGTCGATGGGGACAACAACCGCAGAGTTTCTGGATTTCCTGGAAGCGCAGTCTAAGACTCAAGTTAAAATTCTAGAGGTCGAAGTACGTGCTGGTCAGGAGCTACTTCGGCTGCACAAGACTCAATACGAAAAAGAACGTGCTGAAGTGAGTTACTGCCTTTTTGTGTTGAGCTTCTTACAAGTCCTAAAGTACTCTTTTCTGTAGCTGGATGAAGAAATCACAGCACTGCGTGTTGGTCGTACGGAGGCCGAGCGACGGTGTGCCGAGCTCCGCACGGATCTCCGGAAATGTCGAAGTGAATTGGCGTGTCATGTTGCAAATGCAACGGATATTCAGCGGTAAGAAATGACGTCGTGCTGCAGATATTTTTTATTTTTCTTCTAATATTTATCGCTGTACAGACAGAAGAGTGTACTGGAAGAAAAACTTGCCAGCAGCGAAGATAAGCTTCACGCCAAAGAAGTTGCGCTAGTGAAACTCCAAGTAGAATACGACAGCATGCACCGAGTCGCTACTGAAGCCCAAATGCGAGTGGAGAAGCTTAAACAGGGCGACACAGACTGCCATAATACTTTATACCCAGAAGCCAGTAAGAAAGTCACAAGCACTCGGGCAACTGAAGACCTTCCACACACGTCAAAGCTCTTCTCCAAGCTACTAAATCAATCTATTGACAAGGTTGTAGAGGAGCAACCGGGCCTGCAAGCTGAAGTTAAGCTTGACACTTTTACGAACGCATCGCGATCGTCAAACGTTGCAGCGTTAGAAGCGATGAAGCAGCAAATGACACACGAGATTCAAGAACAACTAGCCGCCACGAGGTATATTACTCTGTTGTTGAATTATTTTTTTACTCTTGTTAATTATGTTTCTTATCCCGTCAGGGCTGCTTTGAGAGAAATGGAAATATGCAGCTCAAGTGGCAAAACGTTGCAGGAAGAAGAAGAAGAACTGCGACAGCTGCAGCAACAGGTAGCAGCAAGGGCGGCCGAAATGGACACAGCGATGAGCGAATCTCGATCCAAATTAAACGATTTACTCGATCCTGTCGCTGCTTCTTCCTTCCACGGTGGTCGAGTAGGCTCTGAAGAGAAAACATCTAACCAAGAACCGACGATCTTTGATTCGACTGCGTTAGTAAACGAGTTGATCGCTCGAGCAGAGAAAAACCCAGAAGAAAAGTCCACGCAGTACGATGGTGGGTTTTATTCCGCTCGAGACGTACAGAGTGCATTCCCTAGAATTGACAACCAGCAACTTAGTCACTACCATCGACCGGCTCAAAGTGCTCTGTATGAAAAGTGGACAACGGATCGATCTCGTAAAATTGCCCAGTTAGCAAGCTACCGCGACCAGCAGACGGTTCTTCGGGCCCAGCAGTCAATGCAGACTTTCCAGCAAGCCTTAGCAGAAGTGCGCGAGAACCGATAGAACGGGTATCAAAATAGAACGTAGAGGAAAGAAATTTCTGAAACTATTTGGTTTTTATCTTAAAGTTTGAGGACGTGGTCTATCTGTAGGCCACCTAGCTTCCTGCGTAAGCCTGATGCAGTGTTGAGTGTGTGTACGTAGATAAAAGCTCCATCGTGGTCTTGCTTACAGTAAGTGATAACCCCTCCACCACAACCTTCTGCGCCAAAAACCACAACCTTGACACGGTCGACGCACCGTGGACTCTCCAAGTCGTGCACAACGATAGATGGCACATCACCTTCCACTGTTGCAAGTGCGTTCCAAACGAAGTCTCCCGTTTCGATCGAAGTCACTGGCACTTTGTCGATCAAGAAAGGATTCTTCTTCTTGTGCTGGATAATGTATCGACCAGGACAGTTTCGGATCATTTTCCACGTTGCAAACTCCCTGTCATCACCACGAGTTAGCTCCTAATCGGTGCTACCGGCGTTCAGTGTGCTTGCACCTACCATAAATGCTGTAGTAATATACCACCATCACCAACGTAGTTCCCATCACACACAAACGTCGCTGGCGCTGGTGCACCATTTTTCATCTCGAGGAAATGACTTGATAAAACCTAGAAATAAGAAAAATTAGCTTCAAAATTGAAAAAAAAGTTTTTTTCTTTTTTATTAAGCGGAAATTGGTGACAGACGACTTTTGAAAATGCCTGATGCCCTCCTTCTTAGAATCAGACCTGCGGACGAGAAGAATACTGAAAAGCTTTTGGATACAGGTCATATATGAGAACGGGATGAAGCCCGTGAGTGTGGGCCAGGCTTCAGCAAGGTAGAGGCTAGCACTAAAATTCTATCAGTCTTCATTTTTACTTCTTGGTGGAACATTACAATAGGGCTCTGAGCTTAACTGGCGAAAATTCCTCGGAGATAAGATGACAAAGCCGATAAAGTCCGCCGACGAAGGAGTGCCGAAGAACTGGAAAGGCGAGGACAGACAAACGTACAAGTGGGTCATGATGGATGTGTTTAAGGAGATCAATCTCAAAAAGACATCGCCGTCTAGGATATGACATTGGCGATGCTGGAGACGGCAAGTGCCGAGACCAAGGAGGAGTTCGAGAAGAAGTAGAATAAGATTATGCGCATGCACATGATTGGTACGTCGGTGCCTCCCGATGTTCTTTAGCATACAATCGACAAGGAGACCGGATCAGACATGTGGACAGACCTATGCAACATGGAGTGAACAAGACCTAAGCTGTTCATCGCTCGGAGAGCAAGCTATTGGACACCTGGTGGAGATGCAAATCTACACCTGTGCAAGATGCTCAGCCTAAAGACAGAGTTGGTGGACTTGCAGCATCCGATTGCGGGCGCGATTATGGCTGACACTATCAAAGAGCTTGCCTGGCCAAACGAAGTCAAGAAGCTATCTATCCGATACGGCGCGAGCCCGAGTGTGTATACACCGAAACGAGCTCGCAAGCTGATACTCGCAGCAGCTGCCCGACCGAAGGTGTTTAATGGCAATCGAAGCAGGAAGCGAGGAAGTCGCAAGGACGGAGGCGCCAGAGGTCGTAGTCAGAAGAAAGGTGACAGTCAGCAGATCATGTCGAATGGCACGAGAAAAGAAGATCGATGTGCCGAACGAGCTAAACCGGTTGTCAACGACTTGATGTACCAGGCTGAGGACGCAGAAAAACACAACGAGTGTGTTTCATCTGCAAGCGTACAGAGCACCTCAGAGTAAACTGTCCGGAGAAGGCGACCGAGCAAGAAGATTTAACGGGAGCTTCTCAAAAGCGCAAGCCACGGGGAAACGGTAGGCTTCGTCAACAGCAGCGTATGCCGTTGAAAACGGAGCACAAGGACGAGACTGGTGTAATGGCGGTGCAGCACAAAGATGCACGTGTTGCCGCTATATGACTATGATGCAGCGGTTGCAGAGACATCGCTGGAGATTAGGGGTCAGGAGACTACAGCGGCTGTAGCGGCTGACCATGGCGCGGATGATGCGGATGCGTCTCCGCAGGTATATGGCCAGGTCGATATGCACCCAAGTAGCAGCTTGTGGTATTTCGACACTGCGTCAAACCCCCATGTGACGGAAAATCGCTCGTACAATGTGGCTTTCACCGAAGACATAACGGACACGCGTAGGATCCGTGGAGTGACATCGAGGATCGCTTTACGTATAGCTGGCGTTAAAACGGTGGCTCTAGTCACGGAGATGGATGACGAGCAGACTGTAATGTATTTTTATGATGTCTTCTGCATACCGGGTGCTGCATACTGGTTGTTCTCCCTAGGCTTGGCTCTGGAGCAAGGATTGGGGTTTGCCTGTGACCAGGAAACTCGAAACTACTATATCTATGGAAGGGAGGTCTGTGGTGGCGGCGACGCCCCAGGATGCGACCTGGGGCTTTTAAGTATCGCACCATTCTCAAGGAGGAGCTGTTAGACCAGGAGACCGTCCTTGATGCTATCATACAGTGGCGGAGGGTGTTGGCTTATTGAAAGTGTGGTGCAAATGACTGTGTCATATCTGCCCACAATATTTGAAGACCATGGTGGACAGAGAGCTAGTGACTGGAATGATGCTAGCCCATCGTCAGCAAAAGACATGCGACGCATTGCATTTAAGAAAGAAGAAGCGCAAAAAGCACCTAGAAAAGCTTGATCAGACCACGACGGAGCCCAACCAAGTAGCGTACGCGGACCTGCTTATCCCGGATAAGTCAAATGGAGCTCGTTATGAGGCCATCCGAGTAATTACTGATGGGTACTCCCGTTACGTCACTGTATCAATACTGGCAAGCAAATCTAGTGACGTGGTAAACAAGCACCTAAAAAAGTATGTGCTCTGGGCCGAGCGGCAAACTGACAGAGGTCAGGGCAGCAGTAAGTTCTCAGTACGTCAGGTGTAGACAGACAAGGACGGCGAGTACGTCAATAGTACAATTCAAGCTTGGTATGCATTGCGGGGCATTGAGCACATACAAGCCGGACCCAAGAGCTTGCAGCTTAATATCTGTGAGAGGACTCATCAAACCTTTGTGCCAATGACGAAGGCAACGATATAGCACGCATGATTCCTTCGTAGTCTTTTGCCAGAAGAAATGACGAATGCAGTGTACGTGCGAAGCCGCGTATATAACAAGGGAGCACAGGACACCCCTTACGAAATGCTGTTCGGTGTTAAGCTGAATGTGCATAAAATTCGCTAGTTCTCCACGAATGACGCCGTGAAGCTGGAGACGTACACCTACTCCGGTGCCGGAGAAGACCGACTTCCGCTGAATCGCTGGTTTCGAGAGATCGACATCGCCATCGCCTCGAGATTGATCGAGGAGCCTTCCGGGAAGGTCCACTTCCTTCTCTCGCGGCTGTCTGGCAAAGCCAAGAAATGGACCCTCGGCAAGTTGGTCGTTGACCCCAACGCCTTTCCACGCTGGATACCCTCCAGAGTGACCTTTGGCTCGCGTTCGAGCCGCCGCAAGATGAATCCCGATTTCGGGCTTACTTCTTCGCCCTTCGACAAAGCTCAATGGCTATGCGCGACTACGTCCAGAAGACACGACACCTAGCGTCGTGTATCGTGTCGAAGCCCATCGATATGGCCTCTCAGGTTCATGTGTTCATGTTCGGTATGCGCGAAGGCATGACGCGCTACTGCCTTACAAGATCGGACCCTTTACACTCGAAGAGGCATTTGCCCTCGCATTACGCGAGGACTACGTGGTTGCGGCGTCATACGCTCACGCGCTGCCTGCTTCAGCCCGGGAATCTGCGCCCGAGCCCATGGACATCGACGCTTTCGATGCGACGAGTAATCGTCAGCGTCATGTAGCGCGTTGGAACGGTGCTCGGAACAGTCGTTCTCTCACCTGCTTCCGTTGCCGGAAGGTCGGTCCTCGCGCGGCGGAGTGCCGCGTGCCAGCTCCAGTGCTTGCGAATGTCGATGCCGAATTCGTGAGTTCTAACCAGCCAAAAAACGGTCAGGGTCAGTAGGTGCGGGGCGCCCTACTGACTGAAATGGGGTCCGGGTCCCCCGGTGGCAACCCAACCTCCTAGCCCTCCTGTGCTGCATGCACACTTTCATGCCATCACCACGCCGAGCGATTCAATTGATCATTGTCAGTCTTCATGTCGCCGGTGCCCGGCGACCACTGCGAGCGCTCCTTGATTCAGGAGCGACCAACAACTTCTTCCGCGCGTCGTGCTTGTCGGTATCCTGTCGGACATCACTGTCCGCAAAGATAGAGGGGGGGGGGGTCGCTGGTAAGTTGGCCGATGGGAAATCACGCCGCGTTGCGCGGCGCGAGATTACACTTCCGTACACGTTCGACGGTTTCCGAAGCAACGACGGCTTCTTCGTCATTGAGATGAATTACGCGTTTGACAGCATCCTGGGTATGCCGTGGCTGTCGCACTATCAACCAGAGATTGGCTGGTTGGCCCGGTCGGTCAAATGCCTCACTGATGATGATGTGAGTGAGGTGTTCACGCACCTCCTGGTTGCCCATAAGGATTGGCCTCACGTCACCGTCGTGGACCGGTCATCCACGATGAACGTTGTGCACAGAGTGAGCGATGGCCCTCTCTGCATGGCTTGCACAGTGCTGTTAACTGACGATTCTACGCGGCGACGCGAGGATAAAGACCAACTGGCGGTCGAGCAGGTGTCGCTCTCGCTGAACACTACCGCGGTCGACCAGGGGCTCCCGCTAGAGGGGGGTGACATCTCGTCCAGCGAGAGCGACTCATCATCCTTCAATTCGCACTCGAGGCGGCGAAAGAGGAAGTCGAAGCGGCGCCAGCTGAAACCTCGCCGAGAGCCCGTACCAAGTGACAGCTCACTGACGGAGTCGGTCTGCGTGGTTGAGTATGTGGAAGGTACCTCCGGTCGCCGACGAACACTCGATCTTGCGAAGCCACCTCGAGAGGCGGGGTCGATCACTCGACTTCCAGGTCTCTCCTCGAAGAACTTCCTTCGCGGCCTCAAGGACGATGAAATCGAACACGTCTACCTGACCACCGACGCCGACTCGGCGTCGCTCGAAGTGAATGCAGTAGTGACGACGACGCTCCCTCGCGCCCAAAGAGCGCTGAACCGAAGTCGGCCCGCGAGGAGCGCTTCGCAGCGCAATCTTGGGAAGCGCTACGCAGATCCGGCAATCCAGTCTACGAGTCATAATAGCCGGATAAGATCCCAGCTGAGCTACCAGCTGACCGAGGAATTCACCACGAGATCGATCTCGTGCCCGGCTCGAAGTATTGTGTGACGCGGCAGTGGCCGCCCCCGCGGGATCAGGTCCAAGCTAACGATGACTTCTTCGAGAGCCGCCGCAAGGCGGGTCATGTGCGTGAGAGCACATCGCCGCACTCCAGTTCGACCTTCTCTGTGAAGAAAGCCACGGGTGGGT